GTTGATTATCATGAGAGACAGACTCTTCATTCTTGTCTCACGCAACCAAGGTCATCCTTATGGGAAAGTTTTTTTTTTTTTGTCATTATGAGAGAGGACAAGGAAGATAATTTGGATGTGGAAGGAGAAGTGACACTTAAGGAAAGCTGTTCCTGCTCATGAATTTAAATCTCAATGCCGATTTTGTTTTCACTTTTTATCATTTAAGTTTAACTGTCCTTGAATTGCTTCTTGTCATATGAAGTTGCCAGATTATTTATAGCCCACATTACACAATGCCTGCAGGTACTGCTTGCGTTGGGGGTTGCTGCCACCAACAAGAAATTTACGGGACTGTGCTTGGAAGAAGCTGTATATACAGGTAATATTTAATTGCATCATTATATAGTGTCATTTTAAAGTAAATCAGAGAATTTTCTGTTTCTACCTACCTAGATGGGTGAAGTTTGAAGGTTTCTCTTTCACCTCTAACCATTTTTGCTCTTGCAGCGTGATGAGGAGGATATGGTTCAATCTGTGACAAATTGCCAACCCGAGTTTAAAGAATATTATCTTCAAATGTATGCAGCTAAGAGAAGTCAAGCTCCACTTCTTTCTCAGGTAATGTCTGGATAAGGTGTAAACATTCTATTTTATCTCTTGAACACATGTGTTTGCAGAACTGGATATTCAATGAAGTTCCCATACCAGAATATACAATTTTAATGAATTAAAAAGGCCTTATATCACCTCGGAACCTCTTTTCCTGCTTCATAAGATCTTAAGCAATTTCAACTAAAAAATACTTGTATATATTTTTATAAATCAGAGTGTGATTTCTAATTTGCTATGCCAAGTGTGGGATACTTGAGGATCACTGGATCAGACCTCAAGCAACAAATATCTCTGATTGCAAATATTTGACTGCCTTAGAAGTTTACAAACAAACATGTAAGCCAATATTATCATTGTTAATTTGCTGCACCAAGTCTGAGATAGTCCTGTTTCCATTAAGGGGCATGAAAACAAATCATTCTGGAAGTTTAATAATGTTTAGATTTTGTGCTCCCATATTTGAACTTCCAAATCTGTCAATTTCTGTGCTTCTCATCATGTTTGGGATTCATGGTGTGAAAATTAATATCTATTTGTTTCATGTGTATTGTGTACTTTTGGAGCAAGGAAAACCTAGTCCTTTATGCGCCTGTTCTGCATCAGTCTAATATATTTTTTTAATGCAAGGTAAATGACGATCTTATTATTCTTGACAAAACGGTTGCCGATCAAGTATCTATGTGGAAGAACAGTAGAGGCCTCGGTGATAAGGTGGTCACAGACCATACTTGCTCTGGGGAGGTTTGTTCTTTCTTTCAAATTGGGAATGTTTTCATATGTGAAAAGACTGGAAATGTTCATGGTAATATTCCTGTTTGGCTTTGCAAAGGCATCATATATATGAGAAGCTTATTGCAGTTTTGTAATTTATGTTTTTGTGATTGCAGTCTGTGATGATACATGCAAGGAAGCTATTGCTGATCCTGCAAATGAGCTTTTGGTTTGTACTATATCTGGACGCTGCTTTGACAGACTTCTTTCACCATCTGAAGTGGAAGGAGATGGGGTACGTAAATATACTTTGTATTTCTTATGTTTATGTTTGTAGTGGTTGAGTCTCTTCACCCCGCTCACCTCAGAATAACAAAAAAAATAAATAAAAAAAAAATGACATTTTCATTATATTTTCATGTGCAAGAGTGCAACCCCCCCCCCCCACCCCCACCCCCCCTCCCCCCCCCCCCAAAAAAAAAAAAAAAAAAAAGAAGAGAAAAAAAAAGAAGAAATATGAAGTATATGTTATCCTAGATAAGTCCATATATTACCTCACTTCCCCTCCCTTATCCAATTGTGTCCAGCTGAGTCTGGAAATGAGGTTGAGTGATTAATTGCTACGAAGTATAATTTTACATGCAGTCTTGTATCTAGCATCCCCTACAACAAATTTTTTTTTTCCCATTTATGTACCTTGTTCGACATGCAATCTTGTATGAGGTGTATTTAACATACCCTACAACATTTTTTTCCCATTTATGTACTTTGTTGCAGATCCCTTTTTTCTTCCTGCTGTGTTATTTTGTAGTTTTGTCGATGGAATTGGACAAATACCTAGTTGTAGAATAAGCAGAATGTGACTTGCATTGTCTATATATCTATCTTTGTCCATTACTGTTGTATTCTGATATCAAAGATGTGTTATAAAAAATACAGGACCAGGAGCAACAGCAAGATGTTGTAGCTGATGAAGCTGAACCTTTCATGGGAGCTGGTCGTTTTGGTATGAATGTTTACCTTTACTATAATTTTACTTGTTACATTCTTGCAAGTTTCTTTTCAAATCTTATGCCGTTTCTTTTTCTCAGCACGAGCTTATTTGTTGGGATATAACTGTGATGACGAGAAGGAACTTGAAGCTGCCTTGAGGTTTTGCTGATTTAAGCCATGCCCTACTCTCACCTTTTATATTATCTTCTACATTATGTAAAGACCTGAGAGATTATGCTTTCTACCTTGATGCTGGAAGACGCTTCAAAGTGGTTGTTCAGAAGCCCTGTTGTAGAGATGATGTTAGGTTATACTTGTATCATTAAAACTGTATGTTACAAGGTGCTATTACTTTATCAATGTATGTATTATTGTAGGATCCCCTCTTTAGATTTGAGATGTATTTTCTTAAAACTTCAAAGCTTGTAATAATAATACCTTGATGTAGATGAATATTATCAGTACCTTTGATTGCTCAAGTCCCAACTAGCTTGCTGTTGGCTTCAAAAGCTGCAACGATAGTGAGTTTCTTTTCTTTCTTTTCCAATTTATTATCCTGCTTTGCTACCTTATAAGTTTGTCCAAAGTATAGCTCTCTTATGTTAGATGAGTATTGAGTGAACTTTTGGCCTAGCTATTTGCTGATCTGCCTAGCAGCCTGGACATGAACGCAAATCAAGTGATACTTATGATATTAATATGACTGATTAATTGTGGATGTCCTTATAAAATTAATTTTTTTGAGATAAATTTGTCCTTTAATAAGGGTCTGTTCTGATTTACTAAGCTGAACTGAACTGATTAGATCTAAAATGAACTGAACTGAACTGAATAAAGTTGAAATGAATTGTTTATGAGAGAAGGAATTCAGGAACTTAACTGATTGAAGCTGAATTGAACTAAACTGAAATTAAGCTGAAGAGACCAGGTTCTTAGAGCCTGTTCTCATTGACTGAATTGAATTGATTGGAGTTAAACTGAATTGAATTTTATAATAGATGGAAATTAGGAACTGAACTGAATTGATTAGAGCTGAAAAGGACAGGCCTAAAATCCAATTCCCTAAGCTTTGTTTAGACTTTACCAATGATCAAGATCATTATTCAAGTATTTACTTGTAAAATAATTCAACAAAATCTTAAGAACAAAGACATTGAATCTGTCATTTTAATCAATTATAAAATCAGAAGTTATTACAGAGCTTGTGCCATTAATTTTCTCTTGCTTTGACTTTCTCCTCCAATGCTTCGGACTTGTAATCTATATACGTAGTAGTACGGAGTACTTTGTGTTTGTCTCATTCAACAAATATACAAAGTCAGTTTATAAAATTGGTAGTTATTCTTGTCTAAATATTCTTAATTAGCCAAAAGTATATCTGACAAATTAGGGAATATCACTAGCAACAATTTATTATAATTACTTTTTGACATTATATATATCCGAGTGTATGTTACACCCAAGTATTTGAGTTAGTTGGGTGTACAGTACACCCGAATATATATAACAAAGTCTAAGACTATCAAGTTCAAATATTTTCCAACCCACAAAAGTACACTTTTTACTTCAACTATCAAATTCATATCCCATAGCTCTTTGATTGTGAGCAAAAGCAAGACACCCAAAGGTTCGAAATTCCGAATAGCCCTTTCATTATGGAACAATACCAAAGCGCAATATACCCTGCCAAGATGATATTTTTGCTGAAAAGATATTCACCAAAGATATTATCTCAACATTAATAAAGGAGCAAGAATAAAAAGAAGAGGATAAAAAAAATTGTGCACTTGTTCCAAAAAAAAATAAAATGTGCACACATATATGCTAAGCCCATACAAGTATATTTTAGGAAAATAATAGCCTAAATGTTAATCCTATTTGCAATCTATATTATTTACATATTGAGATAATCTAAATTTTAAAGTTTTCCTCTCGATTCCGGGAGATCTTGGATCGATTCTCACCCTGCGCTTGGGGCTCTCTAAACACCAAAGAAAAAAAAAAACATATTGAGATAATTTTTTAAAATTATTTGATTGTAAAGGTTACTCCCTCTATTTAAAAATAAATGGAAATAACCCGTTAAAATACTAGAGTAGCCATGCTTCACTTTGACTTTTACACTACATATACATCACTTTGGTTCTTCGATTTGCTTTATACTGTATATAAGATTAAAATCTAATCACGTGGGTACAATACTAATTAGAATTGTTTCAATGTATAATTTTCGAATATAAACTTTAGCAAATGCGCATCAAAATCGGACATTTATTTTGAAAAGAGAAAACGGGACAAAGTGAGGAATTTCACTATTAAATACTACTTCCTCCGTTTTTTTTTATTGCACCATGAGGGATTTTACGCTTGCCAATGCATTACTTTAGCTGTTAATATCTTCTATTATACTTTTGTAAAAATTATAAAAATTTGATATTTGAAAAGAAGATTTCGAGACGAATCTAACTAGATCTCTCATGACTATATTTTTTCTAATGGATAAATCACAAATGATGGTCAAAGAACATTAAGTGAATAGTGTCAAAGTCCAAATGGTGTAATAAAATAAAAACGGAGGAAGTATATAATTTAGATTTAGAAACGTATAATACACCCAAGTGTATAATAAAAATTGTCGACAAAGAACAATAACGTGGCGTGGCCCGTGTGAAGTGCGCGTTGAATTACCGCGTGGAATCGAATTCCCAAAGAAATGAAGAAAGGGTGATAATCATATTTATCTCTCTTTTATAAATATCCATTCTCCGTTCCTATTTCTTCTTCCTTCCTCTGTTTTCTCCTTTACTCAATTTTTTTCTCTTCTGATCAATCTCCGGTATCTCAGGTACGATTTCTCTATCCTCAAATCTTGTTATCTGCAATTTTTTATTTTTTTTAGTGGGTTTGTTTCATTTATTATTTTGTGCATATTTTTTTAAATATATTTGCGAGTTTTTGACTTTGATCAAAGCTCTTTTACAGATTTTCAATGCTGAGATCATGTATTTTGATATATTTTAGGGAACCCAGATTTCTTTCTTCCTTATTTTTATGATATTTATTGTTATTTATTTTTAATGAAATCCTGTGTTTGACTTATGATATTGATCTTTGATGTTAATTTTGTATATGATCATTATCTATTTGTTTGATCATATGAAATCTCAACTTAATTCTTCATATAAATTGTTGGATCATTTTCCCTAATTTTAGGGATTATTTGTTGATTACTTTCATGCATGCAATATCTCTTTGATTTTTTGTTTTATTTTTTGATGTGGGTGATTGCTCTTGAATGTGGATGGGAAAATTGATGAATTTTTTTGGGTAGAATTTTTGTTATAAATTCTCATTTAATTGGTGGGTTAGAAACACATCGACTCCTTCATGGTCGATTTTGCTTATTGAATCGAAAGAATGTGCAATTTGACTTAATTTTAGTTTTATATTATTGGTGTAATTGGAGCCACAATGATCAATGATGTAGATGGGATTCGATTCCAAGTCTTGGTGTCTCTTGGATACCACCTATAATGGCCTTAAAACTATGATCAACTATTTTAGTTGGCATCTATTGTTAGTCTCTTATTGTGCATGTTTTATGCTTGCTTGTATGTCTAAATGTCTAATTGTCTATAAACATCTATATATTATGTGCATTGGTTGAGTTGCTAAAATTTAGTTTAACAGTTGAAACCTTACTATTCTTTTCCCTAGTAGACTAGATTGGTGTTTCATGCAAAGATAATATACTTCATTTAACCGATTCAATGGTCTATTCTCGACATGTTTCATTGTGATTTGTGAATGGGATCTATTGCTTAATTAGTTGTTAGTTTTTGATTTTGTGTTCTATACTGTAGTGTATTGAAGCAACATGGGGGGTGGAAAAGACAACCACGACGAATCTGACAGAGGACTGTTCTCAAATCTTGCTCAGGGTCTGGCTGGTGGGCATGGTGGTCATGGAGGGTCTGGATATCCTCCAGGGCAATACCCTCCGCAACAAGGCGGCTACCCACCTCAAGGAGGCTACCCGCCTCAAGGTGGCTACCCACCGCAAGGCTACCCTCAACATGGTGGCGGCTACCCACCACAAGGCTATCCCCAACAAGGTGGCTACCCACCTCAAGGGTATCCTCCTGCTGGTTATCCAGGGGGTCACGGTTCACATCAATCTGGGGGTCATAGCTCACATCATGGAGGTATATATGCTTAAATTGCGGTGCTTGAGTTATACCTATTGATTGTTTTTTTCGCATTCTTATTTATTTAATATGTTGGTCTGGTTTTTTTTGTTCAGGTGGAGGCATGGGAGCCATGGGTGGAATGCTAGCTGGAGGTGCTGCAGCCGCTGCAGCTGCTTATGGAGCTCATAAATTGACACAAGGCTCTCATGGTTCTCATGGTGGTGGTCTTTTTGGTGGTTCCCACGGAGGCCACAGTGGCGCTCCTTTTGGTGGTGGTCACTTCGGTGGTGCCTATGGTCATCACGGAGGGAAGTTTAAGCATGGGAAGCATGGGAAGTTTAAGCACGGGAAGTTTGGCAAACATGGGAAGGGTCATGGTGGAATGTTCGGTGGTGGGAAGAAATTCAAGAAGTGGAAGTAATTCAGCTGTGCCCTTCTCAGCATACAAACCTAATAACTCTAATGGTTGATTAGCACAGCTTAGCTTTACTTATAGCTGTGGCTTATGTACCTCTTGTGCCCAAGGATAATTTTGGATGTAGTGTTATATTTCTTGTCTTGTATTTTTTTTATTTTTTTTTTCTTTTTTCTTTTGTGGCCTGACTCAGTTGTGTGGCATCCTCTTGACCATTGCAATATAGATATATACATAAATGGCGTATGTGTGGCTTGTCTTTCCTGTTTGCTGTTTTCTACTCTTATTTTCTGAGAGTAACATGGCAGGGCAGTCACAGATAAGCAAGAAATGTGAAGTATAGCAAAAGAAATGTTCTAGTGTGAAGGTCTCTTGTTTAGAAGAATTGCTGCCGAAAAAAAAAAAAAAAAAATCAGTTTGTTGCTTAGACCAAACTGATTTTTGTTGTTGATATGTCTATTATTGAATGGTTTAATCTAATTGAGTTTTGTTGTTGATATGTCTATTTTAGTTTATCAAATTATACGAAATTTATTTCTGTTCATTTCAACTATGATCAAATTGTATGCATACTTCTACTTTAAAAAATATTTGAATCCAAAAATGATCTTTTGATTAGCTTTATGTTGCTTAGACCAAACCAAAAACGTCTGAAGTACAAAATTTGTCTGTATTTCCAAAAATATCGTGGGATGCAGTTTTCTGCCCCAAACGCCAATTTATTCAGCTGTAAATTTGTTCATCAAGTTTGTGTGAGTTGCTTACACGTAAATGAAGGATACAACTTCATACAAAACCGTTTAAATTGAATAACAGACATGCCCAGATACAAACATTTTTACAGGTCACGATCTTTACCAAGATCATTGATTCAACAAAATTTCCTATAACAGTAATATCACATCCAGAATAGTAAAATAATTTCTTTGCCATACCCTAGAACAGGGCAGCACATATGCCTGAATTGCAGCAAAGCCATTAGCCCTACAGCAATAGTTGAAAATCTCTCAGTTGGAGATTGGTAGCACTGCCAATTGCTAGCAGCAATAATCAAAATGTCTCCCAGCTGGAGCTTGGAAGCACTGCCATTTACCAGTGGGCCTTGCACTGTAGAAGTCCTAATTTATGTCAGCTGATTACAAGATGTGCTTCTTGGTGTAATGCCTTTAAAGTTTACATATTGGAAGAGGAATGTACGGTCGAGGCAGTTATACAGGAGGGTGATCATCCTCTGGCCTTTGTGGTGGTAATGGTTTCCACCCAGGCTTTTCATCCCAATACATGTCATAATATATATGGCCTGGAGTGTTATTCATCACACAACACCATATGCCAACATATCGCTTAACTCGATTCTTGAACTTCCGTTCTCTCTCCTAAATGAGCATATTAACAAGTCAGCATTATAGGAACTAATGTAAGTTGTAGCAAGCATACAGACCTATAAAATATTTTGGGACGAAAACTTGCCTTGTCAGCAAACCCAAGGAAGGCATTTTGGATTGATAAGAAGTTTATAACCTTGATATTCTTGAATGAGGAGAACACTGTCTTGAACTATCAAACAGGTTAAACATAAGCTGATCAATTACATTGCCGAAGAGCTATAGTATAAACAAAATGCTACTAAAAGCAGCACACGCACCAGTGAACTAAACAAGCAAGCAAACACCTACTTAAAAAGTCCTTTAACCCCCACCCCACCCCCCCCCTCTTTTTTTTTCTTGAGTAAGATTGTGCCTTGGGGGAGGAGTGCATGTATTGGGAGTGATAAGGCCACAAGACTGAGGCTTAAAATGAACAATACGCATTATCTGCAATTTCCCTATTTTCTTCAACATTTGCCTCAAACACTGCCTAGCTCTAATGTAGTGTGGTGGACATAAGGCACACAACAGTAGTGCCACTAATCAAGAATAATGGAACAATACTTTTAGAATAACCTTCCTGTACTTTGATTATATTCACAAAAAGATATGAAATAAAAAAAGCACCAAGCAGACAGATCACCTCAATTTTTAAGCATGTTGGCACCTTAACTCTCATAATTCATCATGAAAATTAACACCATTTGTGAATATCCTTCCTGTACTTTGAGAACACTAAAAACAAGAAGATACCGAACATAAAAAGCACCAAGAAGACAGACAATCAAAACTTTCAAGCACGTTAACACTCAATCTCATTATTTATTTTGCAAACTAACAACAATCATTATTTTTTATGCTTCTTGCTTTGTATGTAACAAGCCTTAGCTAATGACAGGTAGCCAGAGGAGGTATATGTTAGTGAACAACCATTACTTACGCCTCTATTACATTAAGGATGAATTGTGAAAACAAGTCCTCTTATTTGAGGCTATGCATGAAATTGGAAATAGCAATCAAGATATATAAACAGAAGGTCTCAAGACAACTGGAAGAAAGAGTATGTTATGCATATTATCAAGGGATAAATTCCAACTTAAGAATAATACAAAACAGGGTAGCTAAGATAAAACTAGTTCTCTGAGGTTACAACATTGACAGAATGGCATTTTAGAAATGGTTCGGGACAGAGAGATGTTAGGAGAAGGACCACTATGGCTGTAAACAAGGCTAGTGGGGAAGGAGGCACAAATTAGATGACCATGCATCACCCATATCTTTGTCGAGGGTGGAATTTTCTGTCTGTCTGTCTGTCTACATCGTGACCAATTAAGGTATGCAACACAATTTGACGATGAAGAGTAACATCTGATAAAAATTAAAATCAGACGATTATAGGTTTTTTAAAGCACCACAATACCCACACTGATTTCACATACACACTAGCTTCTGCTACTGCTTTTTAGGGTCTGTTTGGCCAAGCTTTTAGAAAAAAAAACTTATGTTTCCTAAAAGTAGTTTTCTAGAAGCTGTTTCTAAAGAAACACTTTACAAAAATAGAAGTGTTTGGCTATAGAGTTGTAAAAGTATTTCTAAGAAACAGAAACAATTTTTAATGTTTGGCCTATAATTTGCAAGAGTTTTATGTCTTTATTAATATTTTTTAAAATATGTTTATTTATTTTTTAAAGGGATTTATTTATTATTATTGAGTAAAGAATAAAGTAGATTTCAATTAAACAATTTCATATATGCAAATATCTCCTCCCTGTTAGCCCACCATATTTTCCGACAACCCACATCCAAGAGCAGCGTATTTATTTACGTCAACACTGCCATTTACACAGAGCTTTAGCCTTTGGATCTAAAAATTCGAGTGGGACAAACAAAAATTGAAGGGACAATGACTACATGTACCTCAATTTTAATTGAGACATTAGAGGTGTGATGCAGACTTGCAGAGGTGAAAGAAGGGGGGAGATGTCTGATGGTTTGAAGAGAGAAGGCAGAGCTAATTATATTGGGTTTGTCTTTTTAATTAAAAGGTGTCATTTTCTACTTTCATGAGGGCATTATTGTCAGCGAAAATATCTAATTAAATGAGCAAAATAGCTCCGCGAGAAACAGTATTGAGAAGCTCCAAATTGGAGCTTCTGCTTCTAGGGGGGCAGGGAGCTCATTGCGCTTTTTGAGAAACAGAAACTAAGTCTCTATTTACCCTTGTTTGGCCCTTTTTCAGCTTCTTAGGTGTAGAAACACCACTCATCTGTTCTTGTCGTTTTCTTCTTCTAATACAATACCATATAGCCCTTCATTTATAGGGCTTCTTGTGTTGGGCTATTACTACTGGAGGTGGAGAAACTTTTAGAAAATAAATTCACCAGACGGGTTGCTGTTTGAAATGATGTCTTTAAGTTATCAGAAAAAGGTGCAGCTGATGTGAACATTTACAGTGACTAAATACTGTAATACGAAATATGTAAAGGCATATTGACAAGGCCATAATTACTTCAGACATATTAAAGATGGTTTATAAAAAAAACCGAACTATCATAAATGAGTACCGTTTCTTCGCTGCCATGTTTGGGAAATCTGAGCAGTCCGGCAGCACTAACATTTTTGGTAACATGGCAGTCTTTTGATCCCACTTGACAGAGATGCACATCAAGCCACGATTTTTTCACCTGCACAAAGAATTCCCGGTAAATGATCCTTTCACAAATGCAATACCTGTATGATAAATCACTCATGTCCTGTGCTAACGTACTTCTAGTGACAGTGCTGGATTGTCAAGGAAGGAGTATTCCCTGATATCAATATGTGGACCAAATTCTTGCTGTGACAAGTCTTGCAGCATCACGTTCACCTGCAAATAAATTATTCAAATAACAATGTCAATTGTCAAATACTTCGTATAACATACAAAAAAACACATGCAATATATCTGCAACCAGTTTCAACAATTAAGTTTTAAAGGCTGTAACATACACAGCTGATACAACATCATTTACAGTTCAAGTTTCACCTGTATAAAAAATGGAGAACACAAAGAGAAGAATGGGTTTACAAAGTCTCCCAGAAGAACCTTTTAATATTATAGTTCAAGAGAAGTTCTGTGAAGTGGGAAAATTTTAACCTCAAAAAGAAACACCCTACTTGACTTTTTTCTAACCTTCACAAGAATCAGAAACCTAACTAATTCTGATGGTACGTGCACTAAGTTTCAAGTTCTGTATGTAATATCTGAAATTGCCATGCAATTTAACAGATCATCTTGCAGCTAACAAAATAACCTTTACAATTAAAGACCTAGAGAGACAGAAGTAATTCACATTGAAACAGTATATACTGATGCAAGTCTTTCTGCAATATTGATTGTCAGATTCACAACCTTCTTAGTCTCTTTCCACTGGAGAGAAGGCAAGAGAAAAAGAATGGAAATTTATTCTCTCTTCTATTGGTCGTCATTGTTCAATATATTTTTATAATTAAAAATTAAAAAAAACCTTAATGTCTATTGAACCCTCCATCTACTTTCTTATAAAAAACTTCAACTACCACTAGTGAGTAAGCGATTCTCAGATGTAATGTAAAAGAGAATTGCAAATAGCTGAACAAGCATTTACAGGTTTTCTGTTGAAGATAAAAGTAAAGGAACTCCCTTTCAAATATACCAATATTTATTTTCCAGAATCCTTTTACTATAATATGAACTCTAAGGTTGAATAACAAAACTTTAAAGCCTCAGAGAGCACAACCATTGAAGCAGATGAGAAAAAGCTGAATGAATTTTCACCCTATGGTTTACCTCAAAAACATGATCCAGAGGGCATATAAAAGGTTGCCTTGTCATGGTACCCTCCAGGATACCAGGATGACCAAACCAAACCCTATCCAACCTGCACCATATTGGAGGCATGACCTATAAATCACAAGTAAATAAGATATCAACACATACATTCACAAGGCAATCCCAAATCTTGCTTTTCCAATTTCAAATGATGTCTTACATGCATACAGGAGGATTTACAAATTCTTATATTCAACTTTTTCAGATCTTAAAGATGCAACTCCATGTAAGACTAGAGGAATTACTAAACTAGGCAACAATATGCTGCAGACCTTCTTAATT